CCTTCACTCCTCTAACTCCCTCATGCTTGTTTATTTCTGCCATTCCTCTTCCCAATGCCCGGTTCCCTAGTAAAATAAATAAAATAACAGTATCCATCAGCATAGAACTTTTTGCATGGACTTTTAGTTAGCTTCTCAGATGGTAAGCTCTGAAGAGACAGCTGGGTTTTTTTATATATATTTATCTTCTTTTTTTTTTAAGTGGTATCTATCAGACTTAGGCCCTAGTCTGGGTTGTGGTCCTTGGAGTCTACTGCAGATTCAGTTATACAGTATTTCTTCAGGAATTGTAGCAGTGTTGAAATACAACAGAATACTGAGAAGCCATACAACTTACAAGTGCTTTTGACATTACATGCTTGTATATTAATATAACAAATATGATACCATCCAGAGCAGTTGAAACACACTGTGCATTCACATTGAGGTATAGCAAAACAAACATAACAGAATAAAAAAATGTTAAACATTAACCACATTCTGCAAGTCTCTCTCAGGACTGCTAAAATTGTGTTCTCAAAGGTTAGCTACAAAAAGGGACTGGAAACAGAAATCCTGAGTGACCTTTATAAAATTCATAGTTCCCTGTCCCCAAGTTGCCTATCACATTCCTGGAAAACAAAAGTTTTTTCTGATGCTTTTGACCATGCACATCATTGTCTAATGCTCTTTTTGAAAAATTTGTGCGCAGAGGGCTCCTTCCAGCCCCTAAGTTAGAGCCTATTATGTGAGACACTGGCCGCATGCACCATTTCCTGAACTGACTTTGAGACAGTTTTTGGACTGACTTCACTTCCGGGGGGTAACTCTGACTTCAGTGAGTTTACTTCAGAAACCAACATACTGCTGGTCTAGAAATTATTTCCTGGAAGAGAGTGCGGTAACTATTTTCCTTCACTTTTCCCTGTCTTACCCCCTTCTTAGTGCTGCTCAGGAGTTAAGTGATGAATGCAAAGATTTCCAGTGTCAAGAAATTTTTTAATGGATACTATTTCATTGAAAATCCCTGACAGTTAATAATGATGATACATGGTTCTTGTTATCCTTGACAAATTTAGCCAAAGACCATTTCTGTTTCAGTTTGCTTTTCAGTTGCATAAACTTTCGTTCCATAGGAAAGTTGCACCAGTTTAACTAATGGCATGAATTCAAATGTAGTGCAAAAATCCACTTAGTTGGCTAGGCACAGGTTTACACTAACCAAAGCAAAAAGATGTTTTTAATCAAAAACGAGTATCCCACAAAGGAGGTTGTGAAAGTATAATTTAATATAAATTAACACAACGGTTAAACCAGTACAGCTTTCTTACATACTATATAGGTCCATACCGAATCAATCTCTTTCTTCCTGAAAAGACCCATATAAATATCTCTTCAGGAACAGAAAAATCCCCTTAAAATGCTCAAAACCATTTTTTAATGTCAGCTATGTTGTTCTAATGTCCTCTAACAGGCATGACTTTTTTTGTCAGATTTTAAAAAGTTAACAGTGGCAGCATCCATTTGTGGTGTTCCGAGTTGGGAAAAGTCATGTGGCCAGAAGATAGAGCACTGAATTTGGACTTGAATCTGGCCTCTGTTCCTAGCCAAGCTCTTGGCCTGCTGAAGTACCTTACCCATAATGCCATTTGCCCAAAGCTTTTGCTACTTTATATTCCTGGTAGCTTTGCAGATAGCATGTGTTTTCATAGGTCTGAAGCCAAACTACTCTCAGGAGGGTGGTGCCAGGACCAGGCTATGAACAGGAATGTTGAGGCATGAGGAATGGGACTGTAGTAGTAATGAGAAGAAGAGTTTGTTAGGAATCCCAGAGGGGCTGGGAGTGTCAGGAGCAGAAGGCCAACAGTGGGAAAAGGAGAGAAGGTACAGAATGTAGGAGTGAAGGCGGGAGGGAGGGCTGGCACACAACATGGTAGGGGAGTAGGAAGTGGGGTGGAGGAAGGAACCCTTGAGGGAGGCTGAAATGGTGCTTCCCTACAGTCTTGTAGTACAGGAGGCAACAGGTGAAGAGGCTTTTGATCAGTGAACAGGAAGGCTGTATTTGCATGAAAGAGGCCAAATTTTAACCCTGAGTTGGTTGCACACAAATCAGGAACAGGCAGATGGAAAAAAAATGAGGGGTTGACTTGTGACTTTGAAAGGTCTTGGGCTAGTGATACAAAAATCATTCAGAGGCCCAGTGTAAAGATTGTAGAAATTTGCCCTCTCATAGTATTATTTTTTGTATTATCCCTTATATTTGAATGGAAGGCAAATCTTTAAATGTCACAACCTTACCTAGTGACTTCAGTTTGCACTGATAGTAACCTGTAGTGATGAGGCACCAAGTAGTGTGTGCTGGATCTTGATTGCCTGCCACCATGCCCCAATAGTTCCTCCAGTTTGGCTGTGATACAAAGGGGTACAATGAAACAGTCAGCAGTCCAGTTAGCTTTATTTCCTCTGTTACTCTCCCAGCCCATATTGTGGGTTGCTCTCCTACTCCCTGCCTTGGCATTTCAGATTTTCAAATTGTACAGTACCAACTGCTCACTTCTTAGGCTGCTGATCAGGTGCCAAATGCAGATCTTTCAAACCAGAGAAGGATGCTGCGGTTCACTAGGTTTTAAGCACCAGGTTTGTTGGGAGATTCCTTTGGGAAAGAAAAAGCCATACCGTGGTCTCATCTGCACAGCATACAGATCACTGTTGAAACCTTGGATTAGAAGGCAGTGGTTTGTTTCCTCACTGTGAGAACATTTGAATGAGGCTTCTTCCCAGTGAAGAATGACACTTGTACCATTGAACATCTCAAATGCATCCTGACATTACCATAGGGTAGTCATGTCCTCAGATGTAATGCCATCTCAGTGTATTCTGTGTGGCTTCTTGGAAGAGATATGCTATTTAACATGTGTTGGCAAGGGAATCAGATGATGAAGGCAGAATTGTGGCTCAGCTTTTACTTTGTGACCCAGAAAATTCAGGAGCCTCCAGGTGGCATGCAAGTCGAATGACCACATCTTCAGTATTCTCTCTGGTTTTATTCTTTTAACTGATAAGACTGTTGTATTGCAAGGCAGTATCACAGCTGTCAGCATAAGATCCCATACTTATGGCCAGTTTGGAAAGAACCACTTGGCACTTGTACTCTACTGCTATATATCAAATAAGAAAGGTCCTCTTTGCATTTTTCTGCAGTTAGTTTCTTGCTTATCCTGGGACATGACTGCCCTAATAGCTGTGCTGTTTCTATTGTTCTATGGATTTCATACTTGGAAAGAAAGCTCAGCTGTTCCCTTTATAATTTGAGCCCATCTTATTCCTTGTTTTACTAGCATGTGAAAAGAGCTCTTTTGGTCTAATGTAAATGGTTTTCTTGCCTTTTGTATTGCCTTGTAGGTATTCACTGGGTCAGTGGTTCCAAAAATGTGTGGTCTTCAGATTAGCTGGTAGCCCCTGCTGGTCACGTGGAGTTGTCTTTTGTTTCTTGTTTCTGATGATAGTATCACGTTAACAACAGCTACAATTATGTTTATTATTTTCCTGCGTAGATGCCCTAGTGATATATAATGTGACACTGTTTTCTCCTAGCCATCTTTCCCCCAGTTGTACTCTTAGACTGTGGTCCACACAATGGAATTAATATTGAAGAATCCCTTGTACTGTGTGATGCCTTTTCTTATTTCTCTAAATTTCATGGAAATTGGCATCCTTACTGCAATGTTCTACGGTTTTGATGAGGGGGAGGATTGTGGTGGGGTTACTTGTGTGGCATCAGTTTGCTTCTCCTATAAATAACATTTTGTGTTCAGTGAACCTCTCCTCAGATTTTGGTCATATATATTCAACCCTGCAGAAATTGAATAATGTATTGGGTATTTTTCCTGGGGGAGGAGTTCATCTTTCTGGCTCAGCTTGAAAATGAAATTTAGACCTGGACTTGCTGGCTTGATTGAATTGATGTCTTTTTGACATCATCAGAGATCTGGATGAACCATAGTGCCCTAACTCTATGCTGGACAGTTCTGTGGCTTGTGCTCTTGAAAGAATTCACACCTCTGGTCAGAGTTGTAAGAGTTTTGATAGTGGCTGCTTGTCAGGAAGCAAAGAAAGTGAAGGTGAAAAGATGGTTTAGAACAGGGCTGTCCAAATTCTACAACCCCATGGTCACATGCCCATAGGCCACACCAGGAACACCACAGGGACATACCTGCATCCCTCCACTGCTGCACCCTGTACCTTTGTGTGCAACCCCCACCCCTCTGTACCTGCAGGTGCATGAGTATGATCCTCTTTCCCCCCTTCCCCACTGCTGCACCACATAAGTGCAACCCCCCATCCCCTTCCAGGCATGGCCCCATCACCGTCAACTCCCCATGCTGTCCTGCACCCTGAGATAAAGGTAGGAAGCAGCAGAGGAGGGAGGTGGGGAGCCTGGAGATTCTGGCTGCTATTGCAGCAAAAGCAATGAGGGGAAGCGGCAGCCAGGTGAGACCCTGGGGTGTGGGGGCACATATTAACCTCTCATGGGCTGCATGTGGCTCACAGGCAGACAGTTGGACAGCGCTGGTGTAAAATAAAAAGTTGGAGAGCCCACCTAGTTCTTGGTAAAACAGACATGCCTTCTAATCCTTGTTACTATCCAGGATCCTGAGCTGTGTAAGAATCTAAAAAAACCCAACAAGGACAGACTGGCTTGTCACAGATGCTGGTTGTGAGAGAGATCACAGTCTGTTGGGTAGAGTGCCCACTGCTCTGGGTTCATGCAATACCTTTCCCAGTTGCATGTTCGTGGTGATAGGTAAGGCCTGAGCTCCTTAAGATCTAGAGGTTGTCCTTACACTACAGAGGCTATAGTTGTCTCTTGCTCCCTTTGTAACAAGTCACAGTCAAAAAAAACTAGCCACCTACTCCTTTGAATGCTGTTACAAGATATAGAGAAAAATACAGGTGCTGCTCTAAGAGCCCATGAGGAAGCACTGAGAAGCTTTAACATGGTTGTTTTCTTTTGTTTGCAGTCAAATCTATATCCCACTGTGGGGCTCCAAACACCAGGCGAGATAGTCGATGCCAATTTTGGGCAGCAGCCATTTGTGTTTGACATTGAAGACTACATGAGGGAATGGCGAGCAAAGATTCAGAGCACCATCAAGAGATTTCCTATAGGAGACAGACTAGGCGAGTGGCAAGCAATGCTCCAGAAGTAAGTACAACTATTTCACTCTTCCTCTTCTTGTATAAGTTTTAAAATATCACCTAGCCAAGAGTTGCTACAGAACAATCAAAAGGCAGCATTATTCCCTCACCTTTCCCTGTTCGATTTAAGTGTCTTTTTGCAGTCCATGAAATCCTGTTGGTACCTAGAGGCAAGCTATTTACACTATCATCAAATGTTCCCCTAGGAAGGATTCAGAACTTGGTGTGTCATTACTGCCTTCCCTTGCTTAGGCCACTTCCCAGGCTAGTAAGTGGAGTTCATTTCAGCAATGATGCCATTAAGGCATTTTAGTGAACAGGGTATTCATTTCAGGAGAAATGTGAAGCTGATGTGCTTCTCTGTCCTTCTTGATAGTGGTCACAATATGTGAGCAACTGAGCCAGCCAGTTGTTGTGAAAGTTTGATAATAGTTGAGGAATGAACAATGAATTCAGTTCTACCTCTACCACTGAGCACAGAAGGGAAAGGGAGAGAAACCTCAAGTTTCTCCCATGGTAACAGACTTGGTGCAGTTGCATGTTGTCAGTGTAAAAATCTACAAGCTTGAAAATTTATGGGAAGAGAAACGTATTGATTATAATAATCAGAGAAACTCCTGTAGTAAATTGGACAGTGTTGTGGGTGGTGTGATATGTGCTGTGACACAAGCGATCTCAAAGGGCAGTGGCGGATGATGGGGATATAATGTAAATGTGTTGCATCTGACTTGGAGCCTTGTCACAGTGTAAGCTGCCTTCTGTATAGTCTTCCTCACAGGAAGCAGAGTAATTTGTAACAGTACTTCTTCAAGCTCCTTTCAGTCCAGAACGTTTGCTCACAAAGGCCGCATCCAAACGAGCCCAGACATTTGGTTTCACAGGGACAACTAGCAGTGAGACACCTTGTGTTGCTGGTACTTGTACCTGGGAAATGCCCACGTCATGCACTGTCTGGCATGTGGCAGGTTGCCTTGGATGGTGTAGGGGAGGCTGGGGCCAGCAACTGTGCTGGCTCCAGCAGCCTGTCCTGGAGGGGAAGCCAGGGAAGCTTCAGCCAAATCACCCCTGCAGGTTGGAGCATGGCCGGCAGCTGGAGCATGGTTCCAGCTTTGGGCAGCGCACGCTGCCTCCATGTGTACTACCCTGCTTTTTTTTTTGTGCAGGTTTTTTTGGGTTTTTTTGTTTTGTTTTGTTTTGTTTTTGACCCCTGGATCTTCAGGGGTCAAAAAGCCCCCTGTACTGCAAGGTAGCAATGTGGGAAATGCCTGAACATGCGGTGTGTGGCACCGCAGATGTGTCTGTGGTATAACATACCACATGGCCACACTTGTTTGGATACAGCCATAGTACCCAAGCTCCCCATAACATAACATAAGTGTCTCATCAGTTGGAGAAGGCTAAACCAGAAAACCAGCCGAGGGCATTGGGGAGTCAGTATTGATAGACATATTCAGTGATTTCTGAGGCTGCTGTTCATCTTGAGAGAAATCTGATGAAAAGGGAAGTAGATGTTATGGTTTCTCCTCCAGTGCCTGACTTGAAATTTGGGAGTTTACAGTGCTACACACAGTATATAAGGGCTGCCTAGTCTGATGGTCTTAAGATTCTCAGTTTTCATGCATCTCTCTTGGAGTTCAAAAGGGCCAGTCTTGGAGAACTTGTCTCTGAGGAGCATTTGCTGTTGTGTTAGCAACCACAATTGAGGGAAGGGTAAGTAAGTATGGCAGTAGTTTGATGGGAATTCCGTATCTATCTGCAAGTGATGCTCTCCCACACTAACCAGATATCAATAGTAAGAGTGGATGGTAAACTAGTATAGCTACCTACAAGATCTGTGAATCAATAAGTAGTCTGCCCTTTATGTTGATACAGTCCCTAGTGTCCATGTGCACTGGTCTTAGTTTTGCATTGGAGAAACTGAAAAGGAGTAGTATGAAACCTGTAGTTTAGGTAGTGTTGGTGACTGGAGTATGAAATTCCAATACCGCTATTGCAGGAGTGCCTGAACTTTGCCTAACTGAGATTCCTGCTAGTATCTTGTCAGAAATTGGAGAGCTGCACCCAATTCACAGAAGATTAAAAGGGAACTGCCCTGTCCTCCAAGAAGAAAGTACAGGTCTACCAGAGAAGTGCCAAATGGTGTAGGTTGTGCCCAACTTCAGTCTCTGCACAGACTCTAACCACTTTGTGGTTACAGCAAGCAGCCCTGAGTGGGGTGTATATTCTGCTTCTGCTGTGTGTTAGTAGGAGTTTGTGTCTGGAATGCCATTAGGAGGTTCTCAACAGGTTCCACAATTGGAAAATGCTTTTAATTTGGCCTTGGAAAGATGCTTAATAGACTGGCTCAGAGACAACTCCCAGGATAACCTGAGTTTGTGAAAGTCATTAGCTTGCTGTGCCTTAACAATGTGCATAAATCAGTGTGTCAGAAAAGCTAGTGTAGGGTTATTTGATGCATTTTATTATAGACCTTAGAGGAGATATGTTTCCCAGAGACTTGAGGAGAGCTGACCCCCCACTGGAAATATGACACCATGCAAGACAATGTGAAGCATTTTGTTGTGGTTAAATACCAGAGGCATCTAACCTACAAGTCAAAGTAATGAACTGTCACAAAGAACAGGGCACTGTACTGCTCAACAGCAACTTGTTGGTTGTTGATGTGGTGTCAGGGACAAAAACAGAGTTAACAGGGAGACTCTTGCTTTTTATTTACCTTCATAGTATAGTTCAGGCTTGTCCAACATATGGCCCGCGGGCCGCCATGTGGCCCACGAAACCATTTTATCTGGCCCAAGGTGGCGGCGGCGCTGCTGCCACCGCCACAGAGCGCAGAGCTGCCGCGGTGGCAGAGCACGGAGCTGCGGTGGCAGCGGAATGCGGAGCCG